AATTCTGATAAATGCTACAAAGGAATTAAACAGAATGGGGTGAGAGAGAGTGGGGAGTTGTCAGGGATGAGTGCTCAAGGAAGGCCTTTTTGTGGAGGTGACACTTGATCTGAGATTTCTTCTAAAAGATGAGAATGAGCCAGTTTGGAAATAGGTGAAGGAAGAGCATTCCAGAAGAGTACAATGGTTCAGGGGGTTCAAGGAAAATAGGTAAGGCCTGTTTGGCTTAGCGCTTAAAGAACAAGAGGGAGAATGGAATGAAATAAGGTTGGAGAGATGTAGGAGCCATCTGTCTGACAGGTCTGTTTAAGAGTACAGTGGGAGATGATTGAGAGAATTTTAAGCAGTGTTTTAATATGGTCTGAGTTGATGTTTAATAGAGACCATTTTGGCTTCTTTGTGGAGGAACGAGTTATAAGAGGCCTGAGGGGCAGTAGGGACACCAGTTAGGAAGCTGTTGCTGAAGTCTGGACAAGATATTGATAGTGATTTGTATATACGTCATGGTAGTAGAGATGGATAAAAATGGACTGATTTCAGGTATATTGCAGAGATAGAACATACAGGACTTGATGACAGCTTGATTGGAATTAGGAATGTGGAAAGGACTTTTGGATTTTTTGACTTGAGCAACTGGGTTGATGGTGGTTCCATTTATTAATAAGAGGAATACTGATGAAGGAACAGGAGAGGTTACTTTGTTTTTTGGGGAGGGCAAGTTGTGAATCAAGTTCTGTTTGACCTACTTAAGTTTGAGATGCCGGTTAGACATCCAAGAAGAAATGTAAGTAGACGGTTTGGAATGGGGGCTTGGAGCTCAGGAGAGAGGTTGAAGCTAGAGAAATAAATGTAATATGGAATTTATCAGCATGTACTATATTTCATCAATTCCAAAAACACATTTTTTTTTTCATTTTCTAACTTCTCGGAGATCAGAATGCATCTTGTGAATATTGTAAGCCAGGTAGCAATCATGATATAGTTGTCATTTGTTGTTCAAGTGTGCACAGGCAGATTGCCAGAATCAGACTTTGCAGGATGGGTGTCAACAGCTTGGGGAAAAAATCTGTAGACAATATTGGAACACTGTTCTAACTCTCAAAAACCAAATGATTTGGCACAAGGGAGGAGGAAAGCAGTGAACCATACATGTTTTAGACTTTTCTAAAGCAGGAGCCAAAAGTGTTAGCTTTACATAATTGGGACCCCAGCACCATTATCTTTTAATTCTTTTAAGAAATGCATTGTGTATTTCAAATAGCTAGAAGAAAGGATTTTGAATGTTCTCACAACAAAGAAATGATAAATGTTTAAGGTGATGGAAATGCTAATTACCATTATTTGATCATTACACAATGTATGCATGTATCAAAACGTCTCATACCCCATAAATATGTACAATTATGTGTCAATAAAAAAAACAAAAGGAAAAAGAAATACTGCATCACCTACACTCTGACACAGAGAATGGTATGGTGTGAGAAAACAGATATCCCATAACTTAGAGGAGTTGTACTCTGAACGCAAAGTTTTAGAAATACTTTTACCAGTTTATTTTGTTCATATCTGCTATCACATGTTTATAACAAAGATATATAATAAAAATCTGCCCACATCTAAACAACTCTTTCAATCATTATAAAAATTCTAGGTGTTAAAAAGGCATTGTATTATATATAGTTTAATAGGCAGAGTTTTCTCTTAGTGATATTTGAAAAATTGTTTTTTGTTTTTTTTTTTTTGGTTTTTTTTTAGAGAACCAATGGATCTTAGATTCGGGTGAAATATAGTAGGTGATAAGGTGATAGTTAAAGCTAGGGAACAGTGGGATTATGTAGGCCTGAAATTTTATAAAGAGTTAGAGTTTCATAGAATCTACTGCATACACAGCCTGCCTCACCAGATTTCCTCTTCATCCTTCAAGACTCAATTCAAGGATTATAATATTGGAGACTTGGGAAGGTGGGAGGGTGGGAGGAGAGTAAGGGATGAGAAATCACCTAATGGGTACAAGTTAACTACTCAAGTGATCACACAAAATGCTCAGACTTTACCACTATGCAATATATCCATGTAACTAAACTGCACTTGTACCCCCTAAATATATAAAATCAAAAGAAAAAATTCTAAAAAACAGAAAGGATTGCATTCCTCAGAGAAAGCCTTTTCTGACACCCTTCATCCCTACGACACTGGCTAAGTACAGAATTTAAAAATGAGGCCATAGATTAGCAAAATGGTGCTTACTTTATCTACTGTGATTTTATTTTTTCTCTCTTTGTGCTTCTAGGGAAAAAGAAATATGGAGGGTTATAGTGGGTGTGCATTTGAAAGGAATCCAAGAGTGATGGTAGGAATAGAACTTTACAAATAATCAGTGAAGAACCATCTTAATTTTCTAGTGATTTTTGCTAACCAAATATTTCCTTCCCCATGTCTCCCCACTTCCTTTTTTTGTTTTTCATTCTGTTTTGTTTTTAAGGAAAGCCCAGAAGAAAGGACATTGAACATGAGCTCTATTCGGGTAAATAAATTGACTTTCATCATGTTCAGGGATTTCATATAGTTTAATTTCATCAAGAGAATTTATACCTTTTCTTTTTTCCAAATCTTAAGTCTGTTGCCTCCACAAATTCTAAGTGTTTGCCTTCTGAATTCATTCCAGTGACTTTAATGTGAATCTATTGGCACATACCTTCTCCAGTCTCCTCTATGGTGTAACTCTTCATGGTTTGACTCTTGCTGTTGTACCATGCATTATCTCATTTTATAGTACAGTAGAATGTATACAAAGTGTGAGTGTAATGAGATTGATTTAACAAACCATACCTAATTGTCTCATTATTATAGAAACTCCTGCTGTTTACATATTTAATGTAGGCAGTAATGTAACAATGTGTGCTCCTGTGTTATTTATTTAAGATGTTAAATTGCTAGAGTGAGGGAATGATGACATTTTCATTTCACAGTACTTTATTCAGTTGAACAGCTAAATTGTTTTTGGTAGTATAATAAAAGGGATGTTTAGGCCTTGGACTTTGCGTACTTTCTAGTTTAAATGTGACCTAGTGACTGAGCTGAACCTGGTCCCTCTGAGCTAACTCTTGCTATGTACATCCAGGATGCTGCAAACTTTTCCTAGGGAAAGAAAAGGAATTAGAGAATAAGCCTAGTATAGTAGTCAATAAGTAATTTTCCTTTTTCTGTGCCTACAGGGAAAGAAATGGAACTGGTATTTGGACTATTTATTTTCAGAGGGGTTACAAGGCTTGAAGCTTTTCATAAGAAGTAATATTCATCGTTCTTCTGTCCCCCCGATCAGAGAGCATATACCACAACAATATTAAATGAATGTTGACATAAACAGAGCATACGGGACTAAATGCCTTCCTTGTTGCTAAATAGGCCAAATGGATCAACTTGAGTTTCCATATGCATTTTACTAACAGACTGCCATCCTCAAGGAGTACTCAGACTGGTCTTCTATTCATGACTCAGGAGAGCCTTGGTGTGGCTAACTTATTTTTCAGGATTTAGGTTCTTTAGCATACTCATGAAAAATGACGTCTTCATGATCAGGCTTTACCATCTACCAAATTATACATAAAGAGACACAATTTGATTTGTGGTAGGATTTTTCACATTTTTGTGTACTATGAGTGGCATTGATGGAAGAGAGCAGGTAATATACAACAGCGGTTAATCCACAGACATATATATGCAAAATACTCTGCTGCCTCTGTGAAACCTCTGAGGATATTGCCATTTTTCTTACTGTGAACAACAGCACCAGCACCAAGTTAACAGAATATAACATGTATGACTCTAAGAGTCCTAAGTAGTTGGTGACTTCCTGGGCCTTCACTGGTAGCAATTTGATGAGGGAAGGAACGGAAGAGGATTGTGGGGTAATCAAGACATTCCTCTTTATACCAGTTTAAAAACTGCTCTATTTTGTTTATGTATATATGTGTGTGTGTGTGTATATATGTCTGCAGTTTTTAAGCATTCAGGCATAAATAAATTAACTATAATTTACTTTCAAAAGTAATTCCAAAGCTTTTTAAAATTTTCATAATAGCCAGAATATCTTGCTGAAAATTTACTATAAAATTTTGCTTCAGTGCTACTGAATAACTCTCTACCTTTT